AAAAAGCAAATGGTAGAAAGTTTTGAAATAGATACATGTTCTATCTAGCTGATATAATCACATTTCAATATGAATTTATGCTCAAGTAACACTAAATGGCCTAGAAAGACAGCACTGCAGTTAGTTACTGCAGAGCATGATTTCCCCCATGCACCTCCCATTTTGGTTAATGTAGGTCACAAGGAGATAAAAGCAAATTTTTCCTAAGAGTACCTAGCTAACTGTAACCCTCCTTCACAGTAGACAAATTGCTCCTCTTTTTCTTTTTTTCAAGGATAAGTGACAGTTCAAAATGTCCTGAAATCATCTTTTCAAAGAGGGAAATATGATGAACAATCTTCAAAATATGGCTCAAGTTTAAGCCTGCCATAAATAAATGGGGACTTTTGCATGTGTTCGTGAACTCATTTTGAAAAAGCAGTACAAAAAATACATTTTTCCATGTGATTTCAGGGCATCGATGTAAGTGAGTCCCTTTTGGATTTAGAAGTGAACCTGACAGCATTTTTCCAGGATTGCATCATATGTTTCACTCGCACTTTCACATCCTGTATTAAACCACATGCATGCACGTCAACAAGACAAGATTGTAAAAGGAGTGTGACTGGGGAATTGTTTTCCTGATACTTGATAGGAGTAATTGCAGCCACTGCTGCTTCAAAGCAACTCTGGTTATACTACACTATGTCAACAAAAGTCAGTTTTGCCATGTGGAAACCTAATTATTTCAGAATGATCTGTTAGAAAGCACTTTTGAAATAATCATTTATACAACTCAGTAAAAAATATTTGTGCATGAAACCTTTCTTGAATAAAAGCTTTCACGTGTTATAGTTTGAGCAGCAAAGTGAGAGTTTTGGAAATATTAAAAAAGTAGACTTCTGTTTAAGAGGAAAATTTAGTAGGTGATTAGAAAATCTGAGTATTTCCCATTGATTTGTGTGATAAACCTGGCAGGGCTGTTACTGAATAGAAAAGAGGGTGGGGTTTTTTCTGTTCTCTTTCAGCAAGAGCCTAATATTGTGGGAAATGGGATGAAACTTTCATATATTTTAGTGAGATCATGTGATGTCAGGGATATTTGTCTGTGTACTATTTCCTCCAGAAAATGACTTGAAGCTTCTGTGGTGTTTTTGGTCATTAAATGATGTAGTTGTTGTTTGCAATAATGTGTTGTTTTTACATGTGTTGTTCATCACTTCTGAGCTGTTTAGGAATCTGTTATTCAAACATTTTTTCTGTCACTATGGAATTAAAGAATATCACAAATTTTCTTAGTTAAGCATGATGTTCTGTACCTAGACTCTTACTATTTTCTGTGTAGCTCTTACTACTAAAAATGTGCTTTTGAAAGACACTGTAATCCTTATAACTGTAAATGAATGTTGCAAGTTCCATGAATGTCTAAGCTTCATAGTGAAGTTAGGTTAAATGATGTGTTTAAAAGTCTTAGTTGTCAAGACATAGAATTGTAATTTATGGATAGTCATGTGTATGAAATTTCAGGTGATTTCTGACACATAAACCATCTGTTCTGAATTGCACTTCTTGAAAGAAATTCTACATTCAGTCGCTGCAGTATGCATAAATCAAAAGATACAAAATATTTAGAACCAGATTTATTAATGTGCTGTTAGTACTGGGGACCTGGTACCCAAGGGTCACTGGAGGTTTTCTGCATTCCTGCCAGGCATTGCAATGTCATCCCAAAGGTTCCTAAAAGGAGAGGCTGTGCAGGTTCTCCTGGCTGTCTCCTCCCTCACTGAAGGCTCTGTGCCACAGCAGGTCTTGGGCTCCAGGACCAGTGCTGGAGGCTCCTTGTGCTGCTGGGCTCAGGGCCAAGGAGAGCAGATGGGTTGTGCCCACACTGAGCCCAAATCTCCACTGATTGCCAGATGGCAGCCACCAGTCATACACACAACAACACAAAAAAAAAATTTCTTTGGTTTGGGTTTTTGTTTGGTGGGTTTTTTTTGTTGTTCAGTAGTTCTAAGGTAATCTAAGTAGTTTATTAGAGACTTCCAGAACAGTGTTCAATATCCTTAACAAGACTTGAAAGAATATAGGCTATTTATTGTGGTTGTGTCAGCACAAAGCAGTTTAAAGGTACAGAATTGTCTGGAGCTGGAGAGCTGTGTGGAAGCAAACAAGCCCAGTATGATATCCCAGCCCTTCTGAGCTGTTCCTGGCATTAGAAATAGGGTTTTTTTCTGGGAGAAGACTCACTAGTTTTCTGCAAAGGCAAGCCTGAGAACAAAGTAGCAAGTGCACTCTGTGGAAAAATTCAGAGATGAGAACTGAAGAGGGAAATGAGAGATAACAGGATTTGACACTGCAGGTCTGCTCTGACATGTAAAGTAACTGTACCTTTATCTCCTTTCCATTCTCTCTGAAGTTTTTATGCACAAGTGTGCAAAGGCCTGGAATACTGGAGCTGGCTTCTTGACATCTTGTTCCTGTCACTGTGGTGCTGTTCATCCATAATAGATCATCCACAATTTGTGCTTTTAATTTGACATAATAAATCAAATATTGCGAAGAGTATAGTAGTGTCAGGTATAGTTTATTTGGTTCCCTTTTGCTGACCATTAACTCAGTTGACTGAACATCCACGTGTCACTTCAGAGGGCTGTCAGTGGGGGCTGCCACTGCCTGTGCTGGGGTCACCCTTTGATCCTGGATTATCTTCCCTCACAGCTCTTGCTGCTCTCTGCCCATTTCCCATTTTGCTTTGTGCCAGTCCAATATCCCTGCCCACATTGCTTCTTTCTCTTTTGCACTGCAAGAGGTAAGGTTGGCTTGAACCTTCTCTTGGAAATAATTTTGAAGAAGGGACTTCTTTAAGGTTTCTGCAATGTTTTGTGTAAGATTTTCATGAAAAATCATGGAACAGAAGCCCTGTTATGACAGCTTTCCTCTGCAGCCTGGACTAGCTGACCTTCTTCCAACAGGCTGCCACAGGCTTGTGTGACTCCTTTAAAAGAAGTGAGTTTACTTTTAAGAATATTAGATTTGTCTAGTTAAAATCTCCTGGGAAAGGGTATAGGGAGGGACAGGGTTGGACAAATGCAGCTTTACTTCTTCATAAAGACTAAGTCAATGAGAGAAAATTCAGTGGATAAGTATTTGCCTTAGAAGAGATACTCATTGTTTCTTTGAAGAAATTAGTGTGATGTGACAAGAGTGCTAGCCTAAAAAATGTCTAGTGCTGACAGCTTTTTACTAACCTTTTTTAAGAAAAGAAAAAAATAAATCACTGATCTGTAAGGAACTGAGCATTTTTTCCACTTTTTTTTACTTTTTTTTTCCCCTCCAGAAGAATAGAAAGGGGGCAGAAATAATGTTTTAAAACTTCATTGTATTCTGATATGTAATATTGTTCCATTTCTAGAGCCCCTTGAAAGAATTAATATTTTATAGGTTTTTTTGTTTATTCTGGATTAGAGAATAGCTCTTTTTTCTTCCCTGCTTTCTTCTTGTTTCTCCTTCCTTGTTCCAGAATGGTCCAGGAGGTGATATGGTATCTGTGACATAAGGTTTACCTGGATTTTTGTTTAAAATACCATGCAAAATCGGTCAGTGTTTCATATAAATTATAGAAAAGTATTAATATCTCCTTGCAAATAGTTTGAACCCTAAGTTAATTTTTCCAAAACAAAGAAACATAAATTGTCTAATTGGAGTAAGAATCAGGGGGGGGATGAAAGCTAGATGGTGATTTGAGGAATAGATTTAAATGCATAAATCTGTGAGATGTATTTATATATCTAAGACAATCCATTAGTCCCCACTGTCATATTGATAAGTACAATGGAGTTTATGCCTGCAGTTGTTCTATTTTCAGTTTTTTTGGCTTATTTGGTAGATAGCAGTGAGTAGTTCTGTGCATGTAGATGTATTCTGCCTTACATTGCTCCTTCTAAGCTGTGTTTAATACTGATATTATTGTATTGCTAGAGGCTGGTGTTAAGGGGAAGCCTACTCCTATGTCTTTTTTGTCCCCTTCTCCCCATTTCCAGAAATTTTAAGGTAGTAATGAGTATTTTCAGTTTTTTATCTTTTAGCTCTCTTTTGATTGAGTAACTACTGACTCCAGAACAGAAGTAAACATTTCATAAATCAGCATTGGAAAAACAATGCATTCAAATCAACATAAGGTCTGAATTCCTCCATGATTTAGAGATTTGAAAAGTTACATAGCAGCAATGTTTCATTTTCTGTCTTCACTTGGCCATGTATTACAGCTATTTTTTATTTGAGGAAAAGAAGCCTTAAGTGAGAATTATGCTTAGGACTTCTTTTTTTATGTGTCTCAGTAAATGTACCAGTGCAGGCAGCAGGATTGCTGTGGTAATTACTCTGCTTGATACAGATATTGATGTTGTATCAGATGCTTCCTGTCTGGTATTGAAATCCTGTAAATGGAACTGCTCTGGTGCAGGGAGAGCCTGTCTCTACAGACCTTGACTTTGTACCTGCAAATTTACACTCCTGTGTTGTACACTGGGGACTTCTGTGTGTTAAACAGGGGACAGTGACCGTGCTAAGTGTTGGTGCTCTTTGGGCCTCAAGACCCATTCCTTTACACTATGATGATCTCCTAACATAGAACTGAAAGTAATTCACCCTTAATTGTGAGAAAGAGTTTAAAGTCTGTCTTTATAGGGGGTTTTTGTGTTTGGGTTTTTTTGTTTGTTTTGTTTTGTTTTGTTTTGTTTTGTTTTGTTTTGTTTTGTTTTGTTTTTTTTTTAGTTAGGTGAACTAACACTAAATCCAAAGCCTGTAGTTATTAATATTCCTAAGGAGTAGTTCATTGAGTGGACTTTTGGAAAGTCTTTTTGGTTGGGAACTCGTGCTTCTTAGTTGGAATTATTTAATGGCCAAGGAAATAAGTTGGTGGGAGTTACCCATCTATGCCAAACTTGCATACTGATTTCGTAATACTTAAGTATAAAGCTAGCATGTCTCAAATAGCTAAATAAAGAATTTTTGTTTTTCAGACCTTACCAGTTCGGAAAATTCCATGCAAAGCCAATGCTCCTTCAGGGTCTTTTTTTGCACGGGACAACACAGCAAATTTCTTATCCTGGTGCAGAGATGTAGGTGTGGATGATACCTGCCTGTTTGAATCAGAAGGTTTGGGTATGTATTTCTTTATTCTTTATGTAGTAATTGGTAATTTAAAATAACTTCTCCTTTGTGTTTAGCCTTGAAAGACAGAAAGGCTTTTAATAGGTCCTGGCTCTAAATCTGACCTGTGTTTGACTGTGTTAATTTTGCTGCTTGTCTGTAGAATGAACAAATAAGGTACACATCACATAATACTCATTTAAGTCAATCTTAAGAGGAGCTTAAATGAGAGGAAAATCTTGCTACGTTTTCTTGCACACAAATGATTTTTCACCCTACACATAGTTTTCTGAGCATGGAATGCTGTTCTTAGTTCAATGTATAAGATGGTGCTTTTCTGTTTGGGAGATACAAGTGCATGCACAGTTCTGTCTGCAGACATTTGCCTATTTGTGGAGATTTAATGAATTGCACAGGAGGCAAGAAGATACAAAATTTTTCTGTTTCCTATGCTGACCATTTTTTCCAGCTGGTTCCTTTGTGCAGTTCTGGACAAAAATTATCCAATACTACTGCTTCAGCGTATATGCTTAGGAAATCACTGTTCTAATACTACATATTCTTCATTGTTTTAACTCTTCTCTCTTCAAAGGAAAACTTAGGAATCTCAACTTCAGAGATTTTCAGCCAAATCTCATGAAATTAGGAGAGTCCAATGTTTGTTATCTGAAATCAGATAAAAGTGTAAAGCAGCCACGATGACAGATCAGTTTCTGTGGCAGACAAATGAACACACTGTGCTGAATGAAGAAGCTTCTTTGTTCTGTTGCTCAAAAAGCCTTTGCCCTGTTGAAGCTCTTACATGTGTTGTGACTGATCTATTCCCATTCTTTTACAGTCTTGTTCTCCTACTGTAGTCTAGCACAAATATTTCTGAGTTTCTTTTTTTTTTTTCTTTCATTTTTCTGTTCTTTTATTCTGGGAGGTTTTTAAATTTCATGACTTTCTTTATCTGGGAGAAAATTCTTGGCAGAGGACAGATTAGTATCTCAAAGGTGACAAATAGTAAGTTGAATATATGTATTGACTCTGTTTATTAAACCTATAAGATGAAATTATTATTTGATATGGTAAATCATATGGAAAATGAACAATAATTGTAGTTTCAATTATTTGAAATGGTGAAGAAGTTGGACATTTATCTAGGACCAAGAAGCTTTGTAAGCAGCAGGAGATGCAGACCTCCAGTGCCTGAGATAGGCAGAAGAACCTCTGGTTAAGGGAATACTTCAAGGTATTTGAAGTTTGTATTGCTATGGTAAGCCCAGCCATTTGCCATTGTTCCACAGATTTACTGTGCATTTGTAAGAAACTAGATCTTGTTTGGAGATGGAATTGACATAGCTGGAATACTGACATTTTCTGATCAGTTAATTTTCACACATACACAGTGCCTTGTCTGCCATAGTAAAGCACAGAGTGCAAATACACCTGGAAAGGTGTGTTCCAGAGAACTTCCTCTCTCAGAAAACTGAAGTGAAATATGGCTGCACAAACCTGGGCTCTATTTTGTTTGATTAGTTACTGATCTTCTTTACTGATTAAAAACTAGGTCCTGGGTTTTTTTTCTTCCATTATTATATATAATGTACTAGTATAAAAGATTTAGGGTGCTTGAAATAGAATTAGGACTTGATAATATTTTGACCCATTTTTATGAACTTGAGGGTGTGGTAATCATGCCATTATAAAAAATAGAGATAAAAGCAGTAGCTATTATTCTCCCTCAGTTCAAGCACTAACTCAAAGTTTTGCTTTCTTTTGAGATTTTCCTAATGCATTAAAAATAATGATAAATCTTAACAGTTGCCAATCTAAAGCTTTTATGTTCCTCTCTCTCCCACAAATCACTTCACCAATGCATAGGAAGCAAAAATTCAGCAAAGGTAAGTAATACCAAAGGTTCTTTTCAAAGTAATGAGAAATGTGTATGAATGACATCTGTCTTTGCACTGCATTATTGAATACTGCCTTTTATATGATTATTTGTGGTGAAATTATGGTTACAGAGGTAACTATGTTCTGTATTTTTTTCTGTTTTTTTCACAGGGCTAATAAAAATCAATAAATTGATGTGTAAATTGTTAGTGATAAAGCAGATTTTTTCTGTCTGTATTGAAGAACCTTATTGTATCAATGTTTTCAATTGAGTGGATTTTTATCCTCATTTTTTTACTCTTATTCGGCCTGCTTTATGGTATGCAAATACTGTGTTATTTAATTAAAGGCACATAGTGATATTTTTGTCATGCTACTGTGTCATATAAAGCATTCCTGAGGTCTTTTTCTGACAAATATGTATTCTAGAACTATAAGAGTGATTTTGAAGATTTAGTGCATTGAAATATTCGAGCAATGGATTTATGGCAGTACTGATTTAGATTTAAAAAAATACCAATGAAATGAAATCTTTACTAGCTAAGAAATTATTAATTGCTATTATTTCTCATTACTTGAAAATACTATCTCGTTGTTATGAGTTCTGAAGAAGTCTTTGAAATCATGCAAGTATAATTGCACACAAATGCATCCAGCACTCCCAACTTTGTATCACTGAGACTGAGGTGATATGAAAGTATTCCTCCCTGAATTGGAACTGTCTCAGGCTAGAGCAGATAGGGGCAGCCCATGCCTGATGAGCATGCAGGTAAGTGAGATTAATGGGAATCTTGAGTATTCTTGGAGATTTCCTTCTGCTAAGGGTTCACATTTCAGGGCTGATCCAGACAAGCAGGTGAGCAGACCTGCTCCTGTCATTTTGGTCTTGTCCTTCACTTGTGGACTAATTTAGCAATTCATGTAAATATTTTAAGTTAAGCACAGTTTCAATTGCTGTGTTGGATTTGGGCTATTCAGCTGAGCTAAACAAGGAAACAAGATTGAAGTCTTCAAAGGAAATAGAATGAAATCTAGAGTGCTTGATATACTAGTAGATATGATTGTGCTGTCTAATCACTTTAAATATCATTGGAAGAGAACAGTAGAAAGCTCAAAAGTTTGAAGATTTGCACTGCTAATTTGTTAGTGGTCTATAATATGATGTGGTTTGTCTTGCTGAATGTTACCATGCATTAACATAGGCTAAAATGCAAACAAATTGGAAACACAGTTTCCTGTTAAGATTTTTAACACAGCCAGAGCTGACTGGTAGCAATTTCTCTCTAAGTGCAGAGACATGGCAGGAGAGTCTCCGAGTTAAAGTCCAAGTTTGCACAGAACAGGAGGCTGGGGCACCTCATGTACAAGCTGCAGCTCATACATGAACATCTGTAAAAACTATAGCAACACAGTACATGGGGATAATCTTGAGTGCTGCAAAAGAGAGGGACACCATGTGTGCTCCCTGCACTTGCTGCCAAATCTAGCAGGCTTGTCATATTTTTTTTTTAATTTTTGAAGTTAGTGCATTTAAAGGAGAAGGAATTAACTTTGTTACTACCAAAAATTATGATCCACAATCCACATTTTTTGATCATCTGTGCAAATCTCGAGATACAGTGTCATTAAATGTCTTTGTAGATGTATCAGACTACGTAAGACTCTGGACACGATGTGCTAACTCTTTGCAGAGTAAGGATATTAATACTGCCCTTAACTCCTCTGTTCCCATGAGTACACTTTGTAAATTTCCCTCTATAGGTTTTAGGGCAGCAGATACCCACAGTTATGGCAATTTTATATATGGAAGCATTCTAGGTGGAGATATTAGTAATTTTATTCATTTATTCAAGAGTATAATACTCAAAGACAGCTCTTGGACAAATAAGAATGGTAAGATTTTCTATGATTGCTTTAGTTAAGTGAACATAAATAAGTTCTGAACTCTTCATAGTAATGGAGTGTTGTTGGACGATTATAGGATTTGGAACCAATGAATATTCTGCATCTCTTCCATGATAAAATCTACCCAGCAAGAAAAGGGTTTGCCACTGAGTGTGCCAGCATGCTGATATGTCGTTGGTTTTGGGAGTTGTTGGATGCTGTTGGTGGTTAATGTTGTGTGCTTGTATATTCTATGTACCTGTACACACAGTATGTGACATGGACTTCTTTTGATGCAACTGATTGATAGAGTTTCATGGACAGTTTCCTAAATAAAAGCATTTAGTATTTTAGTAGAAATAGCAAACTGAAACACAAACACTTCTAATCTCTCTTCTAACATTGTTGGTTCAAAGGTTTTTATAAAAAATACTCAAATATTTTATACATGGGGAAAATATTTTTTAAATTATTACTGTAGTTTATCTGATTTCAAGATGCAAGTTTTTTTCTGTTCTTTTATAGTTACATCTACATATTGTAACACCATGCTAAAATTTACATGAAGTTGCATCAGAATAAGATTTTGTCCCATCTTTCACAACTCTTTACTAAACTACTCATAATATTACTGAATATGTCTCATTTTGAGGACTATAGAAGCATCCTGGACTTTGTGTTGTTACCACTGGATTTGCATGTTAAACTAATGAATCTCAGTAAATTGTTAGTGTTTAGATGATCTTTTTTTTCCTTCTATATGAATTCTTTACTATCCTTAGATCTAGTATGTTGGGCACCTTAATAGTTTTGAGATTCCATAAGTGATGGAGCTGAAATGGGGCAGGGAGTGAGGGGGAAGCACAAGTGTGTCACAGCATAACTCTGATGCAGAAGTAAGGGTAAGTTTGGGAGAAGTTAGCAGTGTGTTGACAAGGCAGTGTTGGGGTTTTTTTAAGGACAAAAAGCCTTCTGTAGGATCAGAATAAAAATTGAAGGAAAAAGTGAGAGACAATAGGAAGGATCACAGGAACAACCTTTTGGAAAACTTTCCCTAAACTACTGTGAGTTCTGATGGCAAGTGGAAGCCTGTGATAATAAATACTAAGGCACTTGGTAAAACTCTTTGCTTCTAGTTGGCTAAGGAATGCTTTAGAAACATAAATTATATTTACTTTTTATGATTCAGCTATACCTGATATCTTAATCTTTAAAAAAAAAAGTTTATGCTAGAAGGAGGACTGACTTCTTTAAAAATGGTTTATAAGTGTTAGGAGCCAAGATTTGAAATTTGGCAGGAAGTTGAGAGAAGTTTGTTTCTGTATTGTGATTGGATATTCTAATAATGAAAAAAAAAAGACAACAAAACCACAAACAAAACAAAAAACCTGAATGTTATTGTGAACTCTCAGTTTACATGTGCTCAGTAAACACATGGACTCCATGTGCATGATGTTCTGTCTCCTCACAGTCCCAGGTTCTAACAGTGCTGAAAGCAGAGGCTCTTCCTCCTCTGCTTCCCCTGGGAGCATCCAGGCACTGAGGGAAGGAGCCTGGGATAGAGACTGGTGAGGGATGGAAAAGTGTGGAGAACAGAAGGAAGGAAAAAAATGGAAGTACATGGAAGAAGCACAAAGGTTGAGTGAACAAAAGAGGAATACCTGTAAAAAGAGAATGGGGCAGCAACGAGATGGGAGCAATGTGAAGAGATGTTATTGCCAGAGAGAAGCAAGGATAAAAACTACCAGGAGCTGAAAAGGAATTATTGTTAACAAGGAGTGGCTGGAGGTAGCATGTAAAGATGAAGGCAATGAGGACAGCAAATAAGAAGCATTTAAAGAGATGAGATGAAAAGCAAAAAGGCAGGACACCTAAAATAAGCCAGATTTGTTTGCATTATTTCTCTATCCTCCCATTGCATTCTTGTCAAGCAAATGCTATCAGTGAGATTCTCTAGAAAGATGGATATTTCCATTCATTTTATGAAGGAGGTCTGCATAAAATAACATGTCTTGGTCTCTGAAGTCCCCAGATACATATGCTGTATAGTCCTCAGGAATGCTAATATTTTCTTGTTAGAAGCACTGTCTTATGAATGCCCTGATGTTTGTTTTTGGTGGTTATTGCCTGCACACGTCTTCATCATCTAACAATGATTTCACTATGCCACAGTGTTCAGTGTGAAATGCATGAAATGTATTGTGTTGAGTCAGACTTGCTAAAGGTCTATGAATTTTGTTTGGGTAAATAATTTTTTTACTTTTTTAATCAAATTTTCTTCTGGCTATATTTATGGATCATTTTGCAAAGAGTAGTAGTTGAACCTCTCTTTTTCCTCCATTCCAAAGTCATTCAGATGTGCATATTTATGAATTGCAATTGACTCTTTTTGACTATTCCAAACCCAGTTTATTCCATTTCCATTTTGGGGGATGCCTTACTTCTTAAAATCAAGTTTCATTTTGGGGCTGTCACCAGCTTAAAATTAGAATAGCAGAATAGACTTCCAGGGTCATGAATGTAAGACTTTAAAAATACTGATTACTATTACAGGTAAATATTTAATATAATTACTGTTTGTGGGAAGGAAGAATATTGAAAATAGCTGAATGTCCAAGTGTTCTTCATTTATATTCTCAGTAACAGATGGCTGAAGAATAAATATATTTTTCCTAGTGCAGTGCCTGTTTAGTTTTCATGCTCTGCACTTTCACTTCTGGAAATATATTTGGATCAGATTAGAGGACAAATTCATACCTCTCAAAGGGCTACACAGACACTGGGAAAAAATACTGGGCTGAGCATTCAACTCACACCACTTTCACTGATTGATGTCAGTGGAGCTGCAAGCTGAAGTCACCTCAGGGTGTTATTTACCTGGAGATGTTCAGGTCTCTGGCTTCCCCTTCTGGGTCTCATACATACATAGAACAAAGTAATTGCTTTCAGAGCTTTAACTAGACATTAAAATATATTTTTCAGGTGTGGTATTTTTTCTTCATGCATTTGAGTTAGGTGAGTCTTTAGATTACCAAAAGTTTATATAGCTGATGTCTTGACCTTAACTCATTAAAAACAAATTTATTTTGATGCTGTTCTTTTTTTTTTTTTTTTTTTTTTTTTTTTTTTTTTTTTTTTTTATCCAAGTAGTCACACAATTACATTTTGGTCTNAGTTTATATAGCTGATGTCTTGACCTTAACTCATGACCAACACCTTTTTTTTTTTTTTTTTTTTTTTTTTTTTTTTTTTTTTTTTTTTTTTTTTTTTCTGATTTATCCAAGTAGTCACACAATTACATTTTGGTCTCAATTCAATCTGAAGTATAAGGTGCACATTTTTTTTTATTATTGTGGAAATTTTTAAAACCTGATTTTTACCCACAACATCAGGGCTTTAGTAGGTATTTCTGAAGAGAAATACTCATAATTTACTTTTTTCTTCTATTTTTCGTTTCTTGGAGGTTTTGGGGAGTTGATTATGTGAACAGCCACAGACCTTTCTACCTTTCTTCATTTATTGATTTTGGATTTTCCTTGTATGCATTGCTGGAATTACCTATTCTGAATTGTGGGGGGAAAACTGTGTTGGTTTATGGTGGTATTTCATAGTTGTTATAACTTGCCCCTGTAAGCAAGGGTAACTGAGGTTCTTGTTCTCATTCCTTTGAGTAGGAATGAGAGTGAAACCACACTGAATGACTAGTGTTTATATATATATATATATGTGGTAGGTTTATTGTAAATCAGTTTGGTTGCAATGGAAAGGAGGTATGTAGCCATGTTGGTTATCATCTATAGGAATGCAAGAAAGTATGAAGATATCACTTAATAAAATACAGAGGGAAAAGAGAGAAAGGATAAGAATAGAGAGTGAAATGAGACTTAATTGTTGCAATTTCAATGTCTCTTGTTTGAAGTGATGGTCACAGTCTTGATCCATCGAGGGTGGGGTAAGCCCATGGAGCAGCCAGTTCAATAATGGACAGTCAGGTTCAGGTGAGAACATCCAGGTCCTGCCCCTGAGGCAAGGCTTCTGCAGTCTGCTGCAACACTGCATCATGGGCAGTCCTCTGGTGGAAGGCCTCAGAAATTAGGCAGATTTTGGGGGACTTTGATGGTTGATGACACCTAAAGCATGGCAGGTGCCTGGCACAACAGTGTGGCTGAGCCAGCTGTGCCCATCAGCAGGGATGTATGCCTTCATGTCTGTGCCAAGTGTGAGTGTCCCGATGCCTTCCATGGAGGGGAATTTCACCCCTGAGCCAGTTTTGTAAGGAAGGACCTTGCCATGACAAAAAGCACCATCCCACCTTGCAGAATCTGCTTCTTATGAGCCTTGTCCCTTAGCTGGCTCAAACCCCAGCTTGCTGCTAGGCAGAGCTTGGTTTGTCATGGTGCACACCCCCTGTGTGCTGGCCTGTCTTACACAGCTCACACATTTCACCACCACACACCCCAAAACTCTCCCCTCTCCTCCCAACGGGGAGAGCAAACCTGGCCTCAGCAAAGCACCTGCTGCTTTTGCAAATGGATGGCCAGGACATTAACCCCTAAAATTTCAGTCAAAATAATGAGAAAATCATGCTGTGTCACAGGTACTTCTGAATCAGCAAAAAACCATCCTCTGTGGAGTGCAGACATGCAGACTTATATATTATATATTATTATTATTATTATTATTATTATTATTATTATTATTATTATTATTATATATTATATATTATATTATATTATATATATGTATGTATAGAGAAGAAACTGGTTTTAGTCTGTTTGGGATTTTTATACTGTGAAGAACTGATTCCTAAAACATTCTAGTTTCATATTTACTTTAAGAGTAGATTTGAAAAAAATTCAACACCAAATTTATAATGAGGTATATCTTTGTTAATGCAACTGTTATTTTTAAAATTTAAATTGGCTAAGAAAAGTAGTGATCTAAAGGATATTAATTCTCTTAGTTTTAAGAAAGAACAGGATCACTCTAATGTTATTTTTGACTTTCTACTAATTAGTGTTGTGCCAGATCTCTTGATTATTTTTAAATAGTTATTAACTGCTTGCAGATTACCAATTACCCCAAATAATTATTCAGTGATATAGATAACTAAATGGAACTTCTGAACTCTGAGAACCACTCATCAATCCCATCCTTTTTATTCCAGTAAAACTCTACTACAAGCCAAAGAAAACAAACTTATTGGAGTCAAGAATTACAGATGTTGATGGTTAGGTTCCATTCCATCACTAAGATCTTTAAAATAGCTTTTATTTATCAATGTTTTCCATCTTCATTTTGCTTTTCTAGTACTCCATAAGCAGCCAAGAGAAGTGTGCCTTTGTTTGCTGGAACTTGGAAGAATTGCAGCAAGGTAGGTGAAGATATTTGAAGACTGATGAAATATTTGCATTTTTGCCAGCAGGAGCTCTTGACAGACATATTAAATCAGCACATCTCAAGCTACCTTTGTGCTCATTAGGTTCAAATAAAATGCTTGTCTTGATGTCACTCTTGAGGGCAGGTGTTAAATATTACAAAATCTCTGTACCTCAATGAAGGTATTTTTTGGCTATCCTTGTATTAGCAGAGGAAGGGTTTGAAATTTATATTTTTNAAAATCAGATCTCCAGATCTCTCTATAAACAATTGCAATTTAATTAAGTTTACTGGTAATAAGTTGATCTTCACATGACCTAAATCTGACCAATGTGATTCCAGCTGTGCTGGACCTTCACTATATTGTAATGTTGTCTTTGACATCAAGACAAAGACTTTTGCTAAACAATCAAAGTTACAGTAACTAGAATGTGATTTTTTTCCCCCCCCTTTTTGCAGATGCAGATTTAACCAGCATAGGGCATGAGATTTATGAAAAATACATGAGCAGCAGTGCTGCTGCCCAGTCTTGCATGTAAATTGTAGTTACATTCATCTGTGTGTGTCAAATTGGAGTACCTTGCTATTCAGATAGTTTCATTAATTTCAAAATTCCTTGTAGCAATAATCAAGGTGAAGGAGACTGCTATTTATTCCTAGTTTAAGAACTAATATTGGCTGTGTTAAAATTGCAACTTCCAGGTAATGAATGTTTGTGGTTAGGCAATGTTGGGTTCTGCTAAAGTTGGTTGAGTTACATTAATCTCATTTTGCAGTGAGATTTGATGTCTCAATACATCTACAAGAGAATGAAAATAGAATCTTATCCTTTTTATTTGTCTTAAATTTCCATGTCTCAGATGCTTTCTGTTCCAGACGTGAAAAGAAGTACTGAACAAGAAAATAAGCCATGTTTTCATTTATTATGCATATCTATCCCTTTACCCTTAAAATATTTGTATTTTATTTTTTATTTATAATACATCAATATTACCGTATATAGTTCATGATTATTTTATAAATTGTATTTCTGTTTCTGTATTTATGTTCCTTTATTTTAATGTTATTTATAGCTTAGGAGTCAAATAACACATCTGTCAACTATTCCCTGCTCTTGTATCTCTTCAAAAACAAACAAACCCCCATTTATGATCTTGTACGTTTCCAAGGTACACAAAAACGGAGGTAATGTCAGGTTAATACAATTGAAAGCCAGCTATATGATGCCCACTTTGCCTGAGCTGTGGGAAACTAGAAGTGTATGGGAAAGGAGAATGGATAATTGTCTTCATTAAGTGTAGGAAAGAGCACATTAAAGCGACGTTACTGTGCTGCTTTAAACAAGAGAGAAGTCAGATGTGTGCTTTGTAAAATGGGTCTGTTGGCAGTCTTAGGGATCTGCTTTCCAGAACAGGAGCTGCAGAGATCTTTGAAAAAGTGCCTCAGTCTGTTCTTAAAGAACAAAAAGAGTAAGAGACACTGAGGAAATTTAGAAGCAGAAAGAAATGTTCAAAGTGGCTTGAAGGACTCGGGTCCTTCAAGGACTCGGCTTTTGGCACACTTTGCCCAGCTAGATTCCTGTTAGTCTTCAGGGTCTGTAACTCCTGTAAGTCAACCTAAGCTTTTTTATTTAATACAAATAGACTTGTGACTGAGGCACAAGTGAGGAACAATGAGGATTGCTTGAGGAGGGGTTAAACTGAGCTCTGTTCTGCTGAACTTGAACTTGTATTCAACAGAGAGTCTCTGGAGGAGGGGAGACAGGTGATAATTTAGCTTTGCTTTAGTAATGCTTTTAGCATGTTATCTCATAATGTCCTCTTAGAAAAATTAGAGACAGATGGTCTTCATGGATGGACTGCACAGTGAGTGGGAAACTGGTGCAGCCACTTGGCTCAAAGAGTGGCAGTTCAAAGATATTAATAAAAATACAGTTGCCTGATAAATTATCCTGAATTTCATTTTTTTATGAAAACAAAGTTCTGAGATCGTCTGCAAAACGTCAGTAGTTAAAATGAGCCCTTCTGTCACATGTTATGTCGATACAGTGAGATTTGTGAGAGAGGGAAGTCTCCTACAGGGTGGCATTGACCACTGACAATGCACAGAACTATTGCAGTGGGTTGCACAGGTCCTGCATGCTCCCTAAGTATCTGAAGGTCAGAGATTTTACAGTGGAAAACAGCTAAATTCTTTTTTTCTGCACAAAGAATGGAGTTCTCGGATTACTGTTAAACTCTGCAGGGTTAAACAGCCCTCACTGCTCATTTGGAATTACTGTTGAGCAATTTCAAGATCTTTCTGCTATTGTATTCAATTTTACCTTGATAAAAATGGAAAGTGGTGCTCTAAGTCTAAGAGAGATCGTGTTACAGTCCAGTGCTGCTTCACGTGTAGTTGTGAGAAGCCAGGCTAAAAAGGAGCAGAAAAGGAAATGCTCAGCATACCTTCCCAGAATTTGCACCTCTACCCTCTCAGAAAAGATGTGATTTTTACAATATCAGCTTTCCAGCAACTTTGCTTCAGGTTCATACAGCATGTGGAAAAAAAAGTGTGTGTGTCTGTTTGTTGTTGATTTTATTTTTCAACTCTTCATCAGAGGAATTCAGAGTACTGGAAATACAGGAAACTAAAAATCTGTCACAAAGACAGAATGTAGAAACTACGAAAAGTAGTAGAATCAAAGAAGGAACATTTCTTACAGTGGAAGAGTTTTATTTGATGAGTAAGGCTGTATGCAGGAGTAGGCTTAGAGCCCAGTGGGAATTTAATGATTTACAGCCTGTCAGCATCTGCAGACAGACAGGAAGTAAATAGATTGTATATAAGTGCTTGCTTCAATGTTGGCTGACTTTTCATTAGGCAGACTGTGCCAGTTAGAAGCCAATACAAGCACAGGTTTGGTTCTTGGTTTACTTTCTATTAATTTACTAGGCATGACTAAATGAAATATTTCTAGAAAAACACAAAAGCCAGCATATGTGCTTATACCTTTTCTCTGTACATTTCTAAGATCATTAAGGTATTTAGCTTAAATTTTCATGACATGTAATTGCTACTGCTCAATATTTTAGTGTCCAGATCTTTATCTGGATAAGTCAGTACAGTTTTGCATCTGAATTATGGACTTTCCTGCTACATAAGAAAATACGATTTCATTTGTGCAAGTAGTTTGTTATGAGAAGTCTACCTGGCATGATAACTTTTCCAAGCTGAAGTCATTCTCTGAAAAAGGAACTCCGGGTGTTTTTCTGGGGTTTGTTCAGTGTTGGCAGATTAAAAACTCTCCCAAAACCAGAAGGTGATTATCAGTAATTAGGAAAATGGGATGCACTTTTAGACTTCTGACTTCTGTCCAAGCTCTGCTGCTTGCTGTGAGATACTGACTCAATCACTTGCACAAAGCTTTCAAAAGATATTTCAAAAAGAACCTTGCTCTTCAAGTACTCTGTTTTGAGTTTATCCATGCTGGAATTTCATATATTTTGTTCTAGCTAGAGCTATAAGTGTGTTGCCACTGTAAACAGAGATCTGATGACTGGTCGTCAAAAATCAATTAGTGAAAACACTAATCACTTCTGAAGAGTGGTGGCCATGCCTCAGTTTACTTATATAAATAATACTCTATAAATTCAGTACAATAGCTGAGACCAGGAAAACCCTTAATCATTTTTCATTTGGATTTCTTTGAAAAATTTTAACAACAAAATATAAGTTGTCAAGTAATTTGAAAAGGTGCTGTTGTAAAGAAAAGAAAATGCAAACGTACTGAACCTGACTCTGTCCTGCATGGTATTACAATTTTTGGGTCTAGTGTTCATAAATTATTCACCAACATATATGATATCAGACAGAGAAGCTGAAAAAGTACCTGTATTTCCTGTAAATTTGATTAACTGAGAGACTGCATCGGAATTATTTTTTTCTATTAGTTTGAAATTATGGCAGTAATGGTTGGTGTATTCTATACATGTTTATTAATGTGTGCTTCATTCTGTTATTGCACACAAAGTAGAAATTCTTTCCAATGTTTTGTTTTAAAATACCTAATACTTTATATGGACTAGTAATTTATTATTTGCATGTTTCCGAAAGGTTTGGTGTGGAACCTCCTGGATTAATAAAATTGGAAAAAGAGATTGAACAAGAGGAAACACTTTCAGCTCCCCTTCCATCTCCTTCACCATCACCCACAAAGTCTCCTGGGAAAAAGAGCACAGGGAAACTGTTGGATGATGCTGTAAGTTGTGGGAGGAAGCCTCTTCCCATCTTATTGATTCTGATATGCATTTATTTGCAAAACACACAAGCCTGAGTTAACATCTCACTCTGTTTTAAACATCTGTAGACTAATAGAGTTATTTGTTGTTTTGACCACAATTATTTATGTCTGAAGCTTGGAAAAAAAGTCACACTGTGTAGGAGCTCTGCAGCTTAGCCTAGCTTTGTGCTTAGGGCCACATTCCCTTCTTATTACTCTTTTGCTCCTTATTCACCAACTCCCACTTGGTGCTTTGTCTGAGGAACGACTGAGTCAGGACAAGATTTGGCTCATACTGACTTGTAGTGAATGTTAACAAACACTTGTAAGATATTTCAGCCTAATTTTTAAGCTGTTCTGCATGATTCTCACATAGTAAAAAAACGAGCATTGTTTTCCTCATTGTTAGAATCTTGCTTTGAATTTCATTAAACTTGTTGCAGCATTTTGAGTGTTCATGTTCCTGGTGCAAACCTCTAGGGGTTCATTTGAAATAGCTGGAATCAAATGAAAAGGACACGTTTTGAGACCATGAAGAGGTTAAACTGGAAAAGTACAAATCTAGCCTGTAAAAAGAACCAGTTACCATAGTAACTACTACACTGCAAGGTAGATGTGCCACCTGGGAGTTACAAAGCACTTCTTGAAAAATCCATGTGCCACTTCCCTGTTACAAAGAGCAGATGGAATATAATGTTCGTTCCTTTTATTAAAACACTTTTATTTGATGCATATAATTACATTTAAAATTTTCTGGTTTGTATTTCTTCCTTAACTTTGCAAAAGCATTTGTGTTTCAACAGAATTGAGAAAGAACAGTTACGTGTAGAAGGAGGCTGGTAAACTGCAGATCATGGAGAAATTGAACAGAGAGTGTGCAGGTTTTCTCTAACCACCTCCTTTAATTTAGAAAGCAGTATGGATAGAAACAGAATGGAATTCATCCAACTAGATTCCTGACCCGCACTGCCCCAGACACTCACACCATAAAATAGCAGCAGTTGCTCGTATGGTCCAGACACAAAATAAAATAGAATATAATTCCTCCCTCTGCTTCCTTATTTGATTTCCAAATTCCACTCAATACTTCTGTGTCCTTTGGGACAGTAAGGCAATGGAACCCTCAATAGCAGGATCAGCAGTGAAGATCTTTTTCTCTTCTGTTTCACACCAGAACAGATCTGTTGGCTTTCATTCCCCACAAGCTGAGGATGGATCTGTTTTACTTACACAGTTCAAAACAGCCCTGAACTTGTTTAGGCCCAGCTACCCTTGGCTTTTGGTTCCTTATATGAACTCTGCTGGACAAAGCATAGAGTTCCTACTACCCATTTTCAGCTATCAGGGTGATAAATGCCATAGGATATTATGTCAGGAATCCCTGATTATTGAACAGTATTCAGAGGGCCATTGCCAAAACGTTCCCTAAGCACAATTCCAGTCTTGGTACCACATTCCAAGAAATACAGGAACACATCTTTTTCATCCCCAGCACCTGCACTTGGATTTAAGTCATCAACCACTGATTCCATGTAATTATTCCTATTGTACATTGTCTATCTAAATAGTTTATTCACCAGAAATGGAGGGTCTCATCCATGTTGATAAAAATCACTTGAGTAACTGATCTTAAAATTCCAAATGTGATTCATTCAAACTGAGGATAACTCACCTGATACTTGAGAAACACTTTTTGTGTTTAAAATACATGTAGAGTTCCTCTGTTAAGTGTTATTTTAGTTATTTTTCTTCATAAAAATATTATACCCTGATTAAAAAAAAAGAAGTCTTAAGAATACTTATAAAAAACTCTCCACAAGGTAATAAAGTTATTCAGATAAAGGCATTGAACCATTTCAGAAATAATTGGAAAGCCTTTATATCACTCAACAGGGCTAGTTTCAAAAATATAGAAACAATAATTGGTTACCTTGTAAGTTCTTTTTGGTTTATTAGCATAATGTAACTTAATCCTTAAAGCAGATCTGAAAAACATATGTACTTCAGAAGCCTTATCTATTCATGATAAACAAAACACTGTATTAGAATGCTACAGCTTTGGCCAGGCATTTTTTCTTTTTATGAAACAATTTAAGATTTTAATTCGTTGGCTATTTTGAAAATATCCTTTCCTGGGCCTCAGACCATTTTTACAGGCCTTGGTTTACAAACTGGATATGAAAATGTCTTTGGAATGTTGTTTGAAGTGGATAAACATCTGCAAGTTCCTCTGGCATTTTGCATTGTTTGATGCTGACATGCTAGGTACGTTCTTTGTCCAAGAAAAGCACAGTGTATGAAAATGCTGCATTTACTCGTGCTGCTCCTATATAAAAGTGCAATTTGAATGTCAAGTGAGAGTTTCACAGCCAGATCTGCTCGTTTGATATTGTTGCCTTTGCTGGTTTGCCATCGTTGAAGAGTACAAAATATACTTTTACTAAACATCACTGCCTTCGGTAGCACATGCCAGACAAAGAGGCTGAAGTCAAGCTGATTCAGCTAATAACAAGCAGGAAAGTGCTTTTCATTTCTCAGCCCTTATTTTTTGGGGCTATGTAGTCAGATTTGGCAATGATAGTGTACTTGAGGTCCTTTTAAATTAACTTTGATTGAACTCGCCCTAACAAGGACATCATCAAAGGGCAGTTGAAACTACTGGGGACTGTCTTGGCATGAATTTTTAATCATGTCACAGTATTTTCTGTATATGCTTTTTTCCTAAGGTGTTAGTGCACGATTTTAAAGAGGCAGGGTGTCTTATTGGTGAGGAAGATACCTCTATATTTATATATATTTAGAAGGCAGGATGCGTCTTATAACATCTTCAATTTGTCTGTTAGCTCTATTAGCACTTCAATCTGATTCATCATAAAATACTGAGAATACATTTACAAAAATTTGATGCTAAACTCCATGTAACACTGCTTGCTTTCAGATAGAGTGCACATTTGATGCTGAACTGTGACATTTTTAACTCAGCTACTAAATTATTGCTGTTGGAAGCACCATAGTGTGCTTTCTGGGGTTACAGAAGTGTTAAGAAAAACCAAGAAAAATAGAATCAATTAAGACTTCTGTTAATGATACATTATGACAAGTGTAGTATTGAATGTTTTGCTATCCATGCTATTTTAAACAGTTCCTATTAATAACTTCTTGTTTTATAGGTCAAACACATTTCTGAAGATCCACCTTGTAAATGCCCTAATAAGTTCTGTGTGGAGCGTCTTTCACAGGGAAGATACAGAGTTGGAGAGAAGATCCTTTTTATTAGGGTAAAGATTTTATCTCCACTTTTTTATTTTTACTTTGTTTTTACTTTACTGCTCCCTTCCACTTTGAAAATTACATCACTGATTAACAGGAAAAAAATATTTTCTTGTTAACCAGCACTGACTCATTTTTATGGCACAGTTGGAGAATAAATAACCTACAGTGTGTTAACTGACCCAAGGAATTATTAGTATGTGATAAATATCCTTCTGACTTTAGGTCATTGAATTTGCTCTCTATTTAATCAATTGCAACCAAAAGAAAAGTCTTCAGAAATGGACATGGTGACCTCTCAATTGGGCTTGAAAGAATATCCACTGCATTAAAGCAGCCTTTTTCCCACTCTCTTTTGACTGATACTATTTAACAGGCCAGGAAACAGATCAAAGGCTTCATGATCATTGAATTGCCAAGTCATGACTAAGATATATTGCTAAAGCAGCATGAGCAAACCATTAAAATCCACAGTACTTTATTTCATTAACAGATATTTCCAAACCCAGTGTTGTATTTCAGACTTTGTATGTCGAGTATTAATTGCCATAGCACAAAGTTAATCAGGATCAATATTTGCTAGCATTATTATATGGCTGAATTTATCACATCTGTACATTCAAAGCTTAATTATTCTGATCCATTTAACCTTCTCTATATATGTCTATGGTAATAATAATTGAAAATATGCTAATCTTGTTATTCTGTAGTTCTGTGTTAAGAATTTGATTCATACTGTGCTTCTTTCCATCATCTTCTCCACATGCACTGTTCTGGAGTCATGACTTGACAAAATGATAGGTCTTGCTCTCAAATAACTGTTATCCCTGTTTTGCTAAAGGCACATAACTGTGACCTGATAAAACTGAGCACTTGTAAACAGAAGAAGTCAGAGGGACTCCTTCTTATCTGCAGAAGTCAAGTTCCTTGTTCAACAAAATACCAAAGTGCTCATGAAGTCATAAACTTCTGCTTAACATAACTTACAGTGAAGTCAATGAAGTCAGATAAGGTTTTGGGTTTTCTCAGGAGTGTGAAGTTGGGAACATGTATAAGTATTGTGCTGAATAAGTATTGAGAACTTCTAATTTATTCAGTAATAGGTCAAAAAGAAGAAGAAATAAGGGATTTGTTAAATCTCACAGATAGTTTGAGATTTAACATGCTAGTATAAAGGATTAATAGCTTTTCTGGTTTGTAGCCAGTGATACTTTTTTTTTAAATTCTACAGTATATTTAGGTAACAGCTTTGGTACTAGTTTCAAACCACTTTGAAGAAGGTAGTCGTTATTAACCAAAGACCTCAGTAATCTGGCACAGTTTCATATTTACATTTTCTTCCTTTTGATTTTATTTTTAAAAACGTTATGGAAGTATTTTTAATCTTTTATTTTTGAGAAACTTGAGTTCTGCCAGAATGGTGAGTATCAAATTCCCTTTTGTTGGCTTCTTTATTATGCAATCTAGTCCAAGCCAGATTTCATTCCAAGTTTGCAAACAAAACACCCTTTTCATATCACACTACTGCATTCCAGGTTGAATTGTGCAAAAAAATAACAGTAATATAGATTAGGTATTAAACAGCAGTATTAAAGATCATTCCTACAAAACATATAAATAGAAACTTGCCATGTATTTCAGTGGGAACAAGTTCATGTTCCTAGGTTCTAAAAGTCTGTTGTCTTTTGGTTTTGCTTGTTTTGAACTTCATTTTGGAACACTTCACTGGATCATAGTAAGTTTTTACTCTTCACTCTACATGTTCTTCTGTACATAACTAGATTTATTAGCTTTCCTTTGGAATCCTTTGGACACTTATGAAAAAGCACATTTAAGATGTGTAGCTGATTATTAATTTTATTGGTCTTTGGCACCCTATTTGATGCCACTGAGGTAGTTCCTCTATGCTGTATGTCCTTTACACAGCATGATACAGCCAAATACATTCTATTTATTTACAATCCAATGTGTTCCAGTTGAATTTGGATCAACATTTTCATTGTTTTAAGAAGGTTTAGTATGTCCACTACTGTATTAGCCTATTAGCTTTTTCCAGTAACCTCTACAAAATTTAAAACCTCAGTCATTTCAGTGATGCTACAAATATGCCATGTGGTAGGAGTTAGCTCCTATTAGTTGATGGTTAAGATTATTTTTTCAGAAGTTATTTAATAATATTATGTCTAATTTTTTTTCTAATTCTGCAAGTTTTGTTAGGAAGAAAACCCCAAACCAACATACAAACCAGAAAAGAAAGAGTCTCGAGTTCCTCTTTTTATTAATTTATATCCATATATGAAATAAGGGAACAAAAAAAGCAAAGCAAATTAAAACATGGCAGAACATAGATTTCATGCAAAAAATTACAGAAACAAATTACATGTGTCAATTTAAAGTAATTCTAAGGAAAGGAAACACTTTGGAATATGTAGCAGAAAGCATAGGGGTAATGATCCCATTAAAATTAATTATTTTTTTTAATACGGGAAAATATTTAAGTTCCTAATAGAAGTTTTAAATCTGTGAATTAAGGGAGCTAATGAAACTTCATGAAAACATTAAGATACTTAAATCTCCTGATAGAATTGCATGTCTCAAAAGCAGTTTTTTATGCATGAAGTGATTCCATAATGCATAAACTGAATATGGTTATCATAATGCTGTGGTGGCTTAGATGCTAAAAATTTATTTTCAATAAAAATGTATCTGCTTGTAGATTCTTTTTCTTTCCTTCCTTCCAAATAGGAATGATTCTAAATTCCTCTTACACAGAAAAGATGGAAGACATGGTTTACAGAAATGGATTGTATTAATAAGTTGAAATAAACGACCAGCTTATTTAAAACTGAAATATTGGTTTACAATTAGTGGGATCTCTGTACGTGTGCAACATACAATTAATCATTTGCATTTTCACTCTCTACCATCCTACCATTATGCCTTAATCTTTCAGAATGGAACTGAATGAATAAGCCTATTTTTAAAAATAAAGAATAACAAGTCATGAAAACTTGTACAAATCTTTGGTTTATAAACTGGGAAAGAGAGTCACAGAGTTTGAAGTGCTTCCTTCTTGCAGAAGGCAGAAAAGTAGTTATTAAGAGAGATTTTTATATTAAAAAATGGCAGTCACACCTTTACAAAAAGTACTTTTTTAACAGTTTCAGTGACAAGAATTCTATTTTCAAGGTACCTCATGTTGCATTGTATATGCATTAGCATGAACATTTCCCACAGACTAACCAGCTTTATCAATAAGAAATAACTTATCGATAAGAAATAACTTTCCAGAGTGTTTAAAATGTCAAAATCGTGGGCAGATCAGGAGTTTAAATCAACCTAACTCCAAAGGGGATGTAGTGGGATGCCTGGGATCTTGTGAGTGAATTCTGAAAACACATCTTGGGCCCCAGGGCATCAACAGTCATTGGTCTCTTTGGTCTTGTGTTTGTAGACAATGATAGTAATTCTCAATTTGAGACTGCAGAAGACCTGGGGAAATGCATGTCTGAAGTCCAGCCCTAGTTTATGCTCAGATACAAGGTGGTTTTGGAGACCTTTCAGCTGGACACTTCTTTACTCTGTGCCAATTCCTCTCCTAAAGCTTTACAATCACAGGGTAGATGACATTTCAGTCTTGTGCTACTGAGGCTGGAATTTCCTTTCTCTCAATTATTTTCTTGTGTTTCTGTTAAATAGATGAATCATTTAGTAAGAATCCATTTGATATTTACTAGACAATAATATATTCAACATTAATGATGAGACAGCAGCATGTGCTTGCATTTTAGAAAACAATTTAGTAAACCTGGTGCTTTAGAAATGGAGATGCTGCTATTTGTAGTGCTGCTCTTAAAGGAGAGCACTGAGCCTTACATTTCTTCTTTAAACTCCTCTTTGGTGAGTTGACTAGGTATGGCACTAATGGGAATTATATTTAACAGAGTCAAGGTAAGGACGTCTGTCTTTTATAGAAGAATGCTAAAATATTTTTAGGGTGAATTTCAGTTAATATTCTTCACTGTAGGCTTAGATAATTACTATACAATGCTAATTTAAAAGGAAAAAACCCACCTGATTGTTTATGACAGATATTGTGTGCAGTATACATTTATACTGTAAACATAACCCATGGTGCCATGTGGAGAAAAGAATAAATGTGGCTGATGTGGTGGCCTCAGGTATAACCAAAGCTTCTGCACTGTTCATAAGGGATTGTCCTTGGACTTTTAGAGTTCAGGCATGAAAGTGCATTGAGTATCTATTGCCATATCCCTTAACTTTAGTGAAATACTCTTAGAGAAATCTTAGCCTACATGGGAATTTCCAGTTGGGCTTTATATCTTGACTCAGGAATGATGTTTCTGCATAGAACTGGTCTGGCCATGATCTAATGAAAATGGTATGTAGGCTTTTAAAATATTTAATACAGTGTAGTTTTACCTTTCTAGTCCTAAAATAACAGGAGGAAGTTAGAGTGCATTTGAAACAATATTTTATTTCTTTGTCATTCTCATGTCAGTGTGAAAGCAAGTTTTTTCCTCTTGTTACATTTTGTTGTCATTCATGTTATTCACCAAAAATTGTATCTACTATATTTCATTTTCAAACTTCTCTGCACCTCTGGCAACATGCATGTAAAGGCATAAAGTACTTTTTGCAAGATATCAACACAGCAAGATTTTATCCCATGTGTTCATTGATGACTTTGTCCTCTGTGATACCTTCTAGTTCTGACCAGAGGAAAAGTAGTAAATATTTCCAAATCCTTTCTCATGTTAAAATACAGAACGTTGTATTTTAATGAAAATAGTCATGATTTGCATGGCAGAGAACTTATCAACTAGTATGTTCCCCTGGGATTTTATCTTTGCTAGCAGAAGATGCCCACTCTTTCTAGAGAGATGGGGGAAGTTGAATTTCTATTTTTGGTTTTTATTCTCTTAAAAGGTTTCTTTGGGTGTTTTTTTGTGTGGTTTTTTTGGTTTTTTTTTTTTTTAAGAATCAG